CGTCCACCCACACTTACGACCTGCCTCAGTCGTACCAAAATATGGTCAAATTGCGTATTTTCGAGTCCCAAAGTCAGCACACATACAAAATTGTCATCTGTAATTCACTTTAAAATGGCTGGCAAGCTTAAAATTGAGTGTTTTGTGGTGTTGAGAAGAAAAAGAGACACCCATTTTAGATTTTCTATGTATTATTTAAGCATTTCCGACTTAGGACCATTTCGACTTACAACCTGGATGTCGGTCCCTAACCCCGTCGTAAGTTGGGGAGCAGCTGTAGTAACTTTCTTAATTTATTTTCTCATTTACATGCACACACCATCCTAAATACATATTGTGAAAAAGGTGAAAAGTAGTCTGTGGCGACTCAAACGACGTTGTACCGAGTCACCGGGACGCTAAACAAATTTTTGGTCTCTTAAGTTTAGCAGCGTAGTACCGAACCAACATTAAGGGGCCGACGTTAAGCGAGGACTTACTGTATCCTCAACCAGCATGTAAAAGGGTACCTTTGTAAGAAATTTTTTACAAAATCTACTTCATGACCTCATATGCCAAAACGTAAGGTCAGGTGTATTTGGATCAACTAACGCCTTTATTTCTGGAAATTGAAAACTAATGTGATAAAATGGTTAGGTTAGTCTACGCTTAGGAAAATGTATATTCCATAGTATAGCTGATTTAAAACTTGTTGACACAATGATACTTGAGGATCGAGAAAAAGCCATAGTGAACAGAAGATAAAACGAGTTAAAAATATTATGTTCGGACAGTGGGTGTACAAATGGTACTGCACATGCAAGAGAGAGCAGCGATGTTAAACACTACAAAAGGTTATTAAAAATACAACAGCATCATGGCACACATCATCACCATCATTGTTTTTTGGGCCATTTTCCACACTTAGGTGGCTTACTTGATGGTAGCTCTCCATGCTGCACCGTCTCTTGTAGTCTTTCATGTCAGGTTCTAATTCGAAAGTCGTGTCTTAATACCTTTCCCCATGTCATGTTTGGCTTATCCTTGGCTCTCCTCTTTCATATTTTCGCTCACGCATCTTATGACCTAGTTGGCCTCATCCATTCTCTCCACATGCCCAAACCGTCTCGGCTTGCCTTTTCCCAGAACTTGGTCAATACTCTCAATACCCAATTGCCTTCTAAGCTCTAAACAGCCTTCTGTCTTTCAGTGTCACATTACACATGCAACTCACCATTCTCATTTCAGCTCACTCAAGTCTACTTATGTCATCCACTTTAACTGCCAATGAATCACTGCCATACAAGATCACACTTGTCACACTAGCCACACACACATGCACACTCTTCCTTTCACTCAGAGGGAAAGCCCTCTTACTGTCAATGAAGCAGCAGCTCCCTAAAATTCCTTTAGTCACGTCTGACTCTTGCAACAAAATAGGCTTCATCGCCCCTACCAGCACTGATCATGTCACCCAGGTAACAGAACTCTTCAACACAGTCCAGGAATATATCCCCAATGTTGAGTTTCTCCAGCCTTGTTGTGGGCACATGGTTACCAGCACCTGTAAAAGTGGGTCCCATGGCTGTCCATTAGGAACAGTGTGTATACAGCACACTCAATACTAAGCCTTCAGTACACAAGAAGACAGCATGGCCAGTACTGTATTTGACTGCATTCACTGACCCATGAAATAGGTACCAAACAGGGAGGTACCACCGCCTGGGAAGATATTGGAAGCATAATGTGTTGTCTAATGGTAGACCCTGCTGCCATAAGGCAACACAAAAATTGTGACCAAGTCCCAGGTTGCTGATCTGACTTTCTGTCTCATTTACACACAGATGCAGGGTCTCAATTGTTTCTCTTACTATTGACAACACAACATACTGTACATATAATGTTTCTCACTTTTGATTTGTTTTAATTTTTGTATTTCTTTATGGTTCTTTGTTATTATTATTATAATTTTTATTTTATTTTGTATTTTATATTATAATTTTATTTACTATGAATTATTATTATTATTAATAATAATATTATTATTATTATTATGATTATTATTAGTATTATTATTATTATTATTATGATTATTATTATTATTATTATTATTATTATTATAATAATAATAATAATAATAATAATTATCATCATTATTATCATCATTATTATTATCATCATTATTATTACATTTTTCGCCCTCCAGGCCCCTTGTGGGTCAGTGACCTGTGCCCTGGTGGGCTAATCCCTATAGAAAAAAAAATGGACCGCCGCACATACAGAGCACTTAAAAGTCGGCAACATCTTGCAGTCTGCCCAACTCCACCTCTTGTGTCCCCACCTTCCGCACTTGTTGCATATTATTGAATTCCTACCAAGACCTTTCTTGTAAACAGCACATGGCCACTCCCCATCACAGGTCCCTCACCCGCACCACTAATCAATACTACTGTACTTTTGCCACATTCACTCTCAGGCCTTTTGCCTCTATTCCATCCTTGCATTTCCTAAATTTCTCCACTGCCTCTTCAACGCTCTCTGCTATTAACATTAAGTCATCAGCATACAACAACTCGGGGGGCAGGCCAGTCCTAAGTCTCATGATATTGCCTCCAGCATCATGATACGTGGTCCCTCGGTTAACGAGCACAATCCGTTTTAGAAGGTTGCTCGTTAACCGAAAAACTCGTTAATCGAAACCATTGTTTCAATGGGTTTTTGGGTAATTGGTTCCATCTCACCGAAAATTGCCTAAATTCAACAAAAAGGGTAGAAAATTACACCTACTTTGAGGTGTGTATGTAGAAGGCCCCTGGATGATGATGATAGGAATTAGAATGGGGGTGGAGGAGAAGGGAGAAGAGAAGGCATTGGGGTGGAAGAGAAGTCACCCCATGGCGCCATTTTGCCCATAAAATTTTAGTTCTCTTGGTGTAATTCAAGATTATTTTCTTTAAATCAACACTGCACTGCATTATATATTGTTAATATGTAAAATACATTTCAAAATGACCAATAATTTGCTTGCAAACACGGAAAAAAGCGTTTAGTTGAAGGGGGTCTCAAGCAAGATGTTACCTCCACTGAAAAGACAGAGAGACTGGCACCTCTTTGGTGTGTTGACAGGCTGGATGGCGCGCATAAAACTAGTTTCCTTACTTTAAATTGTGTTCAATAATTGTTAAAATGACTAAAAAATATAATATTAAACTTTTAAAATTATTGAATAGTATAAACTTCTTGATATTTACTAAAATTTAAGGAATATAAGCCCTAGAACCGGTTATTGTATTGGCGGACTAATACTACAGCTGGTGGACCGCCAATTGCAAGCGAAAACATGTTGAGGTCGGCTTGTAAGAAACTCGTTAACCAAGGGATTGCTCGTTAACCAAAGTTAAGAATCTTATGGAAGGTAACTCGTTAACCGAAATCTCGTTAACCGAGGGACCACTGTATATAGAAAGTGGCCCAAGACAGACCCCTGATGGACTCCTACTTTTATCTCACATTCCTCACCATTTACTCTCACAGAGGTTTTTCAGCCCTCGCATAATGCCATAACCACTCCAACAACTTGGGGTCGAGGAGTACCTTGTTTGGATTAAGGTACTCCTCAACTCCTAGCTCTCTCATTACCCACTTAACTACTTCATGGGATACCCTGTTAAATGTCTTCTCTCAGTCTTCAAAATGTAGAACAGTTCTCTCTCTTTCCCTACATATTTCTCTTGTAGCTGCCTGGCCATAAATATTGCCTTTGTTGTCCCTCTATCTGACATAATCCCAAACTGCATCTTGTTTATGTCCTCTCCTCATTATCTTCTCAATCTCACTTTCTAAACAGTGCCGGATTTAAACCTGTGGAGGCCCATGGTCAGCCTCTTTGTGAAGGCCCCCCTCATTATAACTACCCAAGAGGGTGGGGTGGCGAGTGAAGCAAGCCTAAACATCTGGGAGTTCCGGGGGGCTTACAGTGCCCCCCGGGAAAATTTTGAAATTTGAACACTTCTTTGGAGAGTTTTGAAGCCATATGCAGTTATATTGAGGAAATTAGAACATTGAGAAATTTTTATTTAACTGTATATTTATTGATAGTGTACAAATTCCCAACACACACACACACACACAAAAGTGAGACATGACTGGAGTCATTCATGTGGTTTCAAGTCGACCAGCCCTGATATAGCTATTACCGCACATGTGGAGGCCCCCAGATTGTGGAGGCCCCTGGGCAGCTGCCCACTTTGCCCACTCCTGAATCCGGCCCTGTTTCTAAAGCTTTCATAACTTAAACTAACAGCTTCAGGTCCCTGTAATTCCTTACATTCAAGTGCATCACCTTTACCCTTGTATGAGTAAGTATTCAAAATCACACTCTTCCTCTACTTGTCTGGAACAGTACATTACATAATGAATATATAAGTTTTTTCAGCCACCATTGACAAACCTACATCGTGTGTTGCTTTCTACACCTTTCCTGAGCTTCCAGCCACCTTTTCCTTTCTTCAATTTGTCTTTTTTTTTTTCAGTTCTTAGACATGGATAGAGACCCAATTATTCTGAACTATGGAGGTTTTAATGTACAGTACTACTAAAATGTAATGTGCTCACCTCATCTTGTACTATTATTGGTAAGAAATGGGTCAGGAGTGTGTGTGCCATGGCCCACATCCCATAACATCAGGTTGAGATACACAGACCAGTGTTATGAGGACTACAGAAGAAAGTTTTCTTTGAGCAAAATTTCTTCTAGTGGTGTCTACATCCACCTCCTGTACTTCCCTTTAATGACTATGGCACTTATGCTCTAAGATAGAAACAAGTGAGTCCAGTATGATGAAAGAAGGGACTTTGTTGTCTGGGGAAGAGTTTGATGAATAAACTAATTATAGCTTAGCTTGTTAAATTGTGTGTTTAATGTTCCTTTAAGAACAGTTTATCTCAACTTTTTTGTTCTTTTTTGTGTGCTTTGGCTTTGTATATCCATGTTCTTAAATGTATGTTTCATTTATTTTTAGGTGTTGAAATTATGTACGAGATGTATTCTCCACTCATTCAAACCATTGACGTGCTGAGGTTAGAGAAGCGCTTAGATGATGAACTCCTGTATCTCCGTGATGCTCTCCCTGAGTACTCCACCTTCCCTCTGGATATGGAACCAGAACTTGTACAAGAAGGAGCTCCTGTACCAGTCAACCCTCTCAAGGTAGCTTTCTTCTGTTTCATGTCACCTCAGGGCCAAACATTTGCCTCAGTCATTTGAGAGTAATAATGAACAGCTCTAAGTTACATCTTTACTTGTTTGTTGGACACCCTTATACTTTCCTTCTTAATATTGTCATTATTTCACTCGACTGTTATTTGTTTTACTGTACATTTTTTCTAAGTTTTGATAAAAAAAATTTAGGTTTATTTGGCTAATATGAGTGACAACAGGTTATGTCATTGTTATGTTGTTCATAGACTTGCCAAAAGCCCACTTTGGTGTAAACCAAGAGTTTTGAAACTTCTTTTTGAGTCACAATCCAGATACATAATGTTTTGTGAAACTTTACTAATCTGGACCACACTGTTCCAGACATTACTTAATCCACACTTGGTCTGGCCTGACATGACCATGTGGTATCAGTTTGTGTACAGTATCTGCTGAAGAGTTCAGTACTGTTCTAGGCATGACAGTATCTGCTGAAGAGGGCAGTACTGTACTAGGCATGACAGTATCTGCTGAAGAGGGCAGTACTGTAATATCTCCGTTAGCCGGAATCCCTCAAACCCGGAACTCTCCGATAGCCAGAACTGAAATTTTCCGAGGGGCAAATTTTCTGGAAAATTCCGAGAAAATTTTCCCGATAACCGGAAAATTCCAGGGATGGGGATTTTATTTAATTTTTTTCTTCTGGGTTTGAGAGATGAAAATCAGGCGCATTTTCTGGAAATTCCGAGAACATTTTTCCGGTCCGGGGATGAAGGATATTTTCCTGGGTTCGAGAGATGAGGTAATGGGCAATTTCCGTAACTTCCGAGAACATTTTTCCATTACGCGGAAAATTCCAGGGACGAGGGATTTTTTTCCAGCCTCGAGAGTCGTCTCGTTACCCGGAAATCTCTCATCCCCGTAAGTGCCGTGCACCAATTGTTCCGGCTAACGGAGATATCACCTTTGTGTACCGGGCACGACAGACTAAAACCACATAAATGAATGATACGAGAAACTCTGTGAAGTCAAAGAGAAGGAACCCAACATAGTCAGAACAGAGGTGAGGCTGTGTAGACGCTGAGCCGTAGAAAGTTCCACGTCCACTGGTTGAGGTCTAGTTAAGGAGTTAGCCAAACTGATCGGGTAGAAAAACGCCATTAGTAGAAGCTGTTAGGGTGGTGTATGGGGCTCATCACCAGTGTGGATGTTGTGTCTGAAAGCGATGCAATTTTTTTTATTATAGAAACTTTTCCATGGCAACCATCATCAAATTATGACAAACACCTGTAATATCTTCATTCAAACTACTATAACTTTGTTATTAGATATGCTAGGATCACAATTCTGGTGCTGAATAAAAGATCTGAGACTGTTCTAAACAATCGGATCTCTTACTGGTTTTGTTCAACTAATTTGCAAATAATTATACAGTACATCACAAACTGGAGAAAAAATATTTTTTAAATAGGTAGTCTTTTTTGGTTGTGCATCTTGGTGGGTCAAAATAGTGCTGTCTGGTAGGAAATATATCTAACATATCAAAAATGTTCATTGTGTGGAATGAGGGATCAAGACATTATCGATTAAGACTTAGTTTCCAGGCCAGGGTAGACGGTCTATCATGTCATTGTGACGTCCAACATCAGTGTTGTGAAGACCAACATTGGTTACTGTCTAATGATACCCGCTCCAGCAGGTGGGTTTAACACTGTATACCATGACGAAGTATCTGCAGTGTACGTTTCGCTCACTAAGCCAGAGTTAGACCTACGGTATCCTGTGTAAGACGAAGCAATTTACTGCATGGTGCAGATAATTAAATGGAGAAACCCAAATAAATTTGCCTTTGACCATATTGAAATGGGAGGCATGAACTGTGATGGCTGTAAAGATTGTAGCAGGGGAAGAATGTGTCTTGCTTGTGTGTGACATGTTGTTTAAAAGGTAGGTGTACAGTATGTTCTGAGAAGGAGAGTATGCAAGTTGAAGGAACAGAATTGAAGGGAATCATTGTATGCTGAGTTGAGAAGAACAGAAACATCCATTGAGAGTGAACTCTAGTAAATATTGAATGACATATAACTCCACTTAGAGGAATATGTAATCCCTGTCTTACATATTATTTTACGATCACACTTGCTTGCATTGCTTACTTACTGACTCGCAACATCAATAAATGATACAAAGTGTACACATTATACACACAGACATGTGTGCCATCAGTAGGTGAACTAAGAGATTAATTTTGGTGGTTCTGACTCGAACCTTGTAGCTTCTCTGTCACCGACAGGAAACTTCACCTAAATTCTTCATAATGGGTTTTAGAACTTAAGACATAGTGAGTGTAATGCAACTTTTTCTTTGATATTACTGTGAGGTTAATGTACTTGTTGGGTGAGTTAGTCCTTGTAGATGGATAAACTGTGAGGTTAATGTACTTGTTGGGTGAGTTAGTCCTTGTAGATGGATAAACTGTGAGGTTAATGTACTTGTTGGGTGAGTTAGTCCTTGTAGTGGATAAACTGTGAGGTTAATGTACTTGTTGGGTGAGTTAGTCCTTGTAGATGGATAAACTGTGAGGTTAATGTACTTGTTGGGTGAGTTAGTCCTTGTAGATGGATAAACTGTGAGGTTAATGTACTTGTTGGGTGAGTTAGTCCTTGTAGATGGATAAACTGTGAGGTTAATGTACTTGTTGGGTGAGTTAGTCCTTGTAGATGGATAAACTGTGAGGTTAATGTACTTGTTGGGTGAGTTAGTCCTTGTAGATGGATAAACTGTGAGGTTAATGTACTTGTTGGGTGAGTTAGTCCTTGTAGATGGATAAACTGTGAGGTTAATGTACTTGTTGGGTGAGTTAGTCCTTGTAGATTGTAGGAATAAACTGTGAGGTTAATGTACTTGTTGGGTGAGTTAGTCCTTGTAGATGGATAAACTGTGAGGTTAATGTATTTGTTGCATGAGTTAGTCCTTGTAGATGGATAAACTGTGAGGTTAATGTACTTGTTGGGTGAGTTAGTCCTTGTAGATGGATAAACTGTGAGGTTAATGTACTTGTTGGGTGAGTTAGTCCTTGTAGATGGATAAACTGTGAGGTTAATGTACTTGTTGGGTGAGTTAGTCCTTGTAGATGGATAAACTGTGAGGTTAATGTACTTGTTGGGTGAGTTAGTCCTTGTAGATGGATAAACTGTGAGGTTAATGTACTTGTTGGGTGAGTTAGTCCTTGTAGATAGATAAACTGTGAGGTTAATGTACTTGTTGGGTGAGTTAGTCCTTGTAGATGGATAAACTGTGAGGTTAATGTACTTGTTGGGTGAGTTAGTCCTTGTAGGTAAGATAAACTGTGAGGTTAATGTACTTGTTGGGTGAGTTAGTCCTTGTAGATAGATAAACTGTGAGGTTAATGTACTTGTTGGGTGAGTTAGTCCTTGTAGATGGATAAACTGTGAGGTTAATGTACTTGTTGGGTGAGTTAGTCCTTGTAGATGGATAAACTGTGAGGTTAATGTACTTGTTGGGTAAGCTGGGACATGTTGCACAGGTCACATTAAATTTTACATTCAACCATAAGAATGTACATTGATGCGCTGTAGTACAGGAACCAAAGTTCACATTTATTTTCAAGATAATAATCATCAGATGACACTAAGGGCTAATTGCAAGAACTTCCGTGGTGTTCACGATGCTGTGGTATCCCCATGGTCGCTTTGCAAGAAGCACTCGGGGCTTAAAAAAAAATTTTGCGATTCGTCATTGGAATGTGGGAGATTTCTGTGGTACTCTCACCCCCGCCTGATGACCACTACGATGGAAATATTTTTTTAAACCAAAAGAAAAGAAATATAATTGGATGCACATAAATTGTATAAATCTGCAAAGGAATAATGTTTTTATAAGATATCCTCCATATAGAACAGCACATGAAGAATTTTATTGTTCTTTATAAAAGAATTCCATGTTTGCGTGAGAACATCTGCCAGCCTCTACTTGCCTCATCGCCACTTATATCTCCCAATTTCTTCTAACCATCATTAAAGGTAAGCCTTTAAGATAGCTAATCCAAATAATTTATGTTTAGGAATGTATGGAAATTAAATTAAGCTAAATAAAAGTCATAAGTGGCCTGATTTGAGAGTGGATCAGGGATCAACCAAATTTTCATAAAGAGCGCAACACTACCAAAATAGATATTGCATTAGTATAAATATCTAGTAGCCTAAATATAATATTTTAACAAGTCCAAATATGCCAGGTGACCTGTACCAGGGTAGTTGGCAGGCCCTAACACATTTGGCAGTTTTTGCTTATGTGATTTTTACATGTTTTTGTTTTCATTATGGATGGCAAATATCAAGGATTTCCATATGTTTAATGGCCATGTTGATATACAGTACTGTACACACCCATTCTATATTTTATCTACAAGTATGGGAGAATCAAGTGTGAATACATTGGCCTTGTGTGTCCATGATCCCAACAAAAATGAATAATGTCTTCCAAACTAAAAGAAAGTGATGGTATTATTATCTTTTTGGTCATCCAGGGAATTGTAGGATTTTAAGTTGACCAATGTTTTCCAGTTAGGTTAAGTTAGGTAGTTTAGGTTAACATTTTGATGTAGAACATTAAAATTTTTAAGGGCTTATATTTTTTTTTCTATTAATTTCTCCAAAAAAAGGATCACAGTTTTGGAATCATCATAAAAATCTACATTCATTTTTTTTTATGAGTGTGTGTTGCCTGTGAAACCAAAAAAATCCGAGTTTCCGTTGAAAATTAAATTTGTTGGATTATTTTAACAGACAAAATTACCCACAATATGTAGGTGTTGGAAATATATAAATATTAACCCTCATAAATAAAGATGTTTCAGAATTCACAAAATTAACTAACACAATATTAATGACTTTATTTTCACTTACAGGTGGAGATACAGCTTACTGTTCACCTTTCACCAATACTGAAGAAATAAATCTTGGTATCATGATTGATGGGGAATTTTTCCG